GGCATGTGGTGCTGGGGGATCGAACCGCGGTCCCTGATGCTTTGCTAAGCTTGTTCTAAGTAGGTGCTTTAGACCACTGAGCCATCTCTCCAGCCCCTGTATTTTATTTTAAAAATATGCAGAGTGTGCTAAAACTGTTTTATCTTCAGCAGAGGTGTTTAATCTTTAGCAGAATGTCACAAAGAAATAAAAATTTTGTAGAGCTGCCAGTTATATATATTTCCTTGCCAAATTTATGTTCAAAGAGGCCAAAAATAAACTTCATGTAGCAACCACCACAGTTAAGATTTAGGAAAAGAAAAAGATTTAGAAAGCTCAGGTAGAGTAAAAAAATCCAAGTTTGACATTTTTGCATGACTACATACCTTGACATCATACCAAGTGGGTAAACACAAAGATTGTTTCTTGTATTCCTTCGGCACAGCTACCAAGATGCGTAGCTGGCCATGATAATGCTAAAGTATACATTTTCATTAGGATTAAGAAACAATGGCATGTGTTTTATGTGACCCAGTGTTATTAATGAGACCCTGTGTAAAAAATAAAAAGGTTGGCAAGGTAGTGGGTAAGTCCTGGGTTCAATCTCTAGTACCAGTGGGAGAAAATGGCTATTTTGGTAATTCCTTTCCAATGTATCATTTATTTCTCCTTTGAAATTACAGATAGGTTACTGAATTTCAAGTGCTTTTTAAAGCATCTGTTATATCCTAGAAAATGAGTCTTCTTTTCCTTGAGCAAACCTTGATTTGTCATGGCTGTACTATTCCTTTTATATATTGTTACAGTGCATTTGCTAATATTTTGGTAGGATCTTTACCTCAGTGTTAAATAGAGTTGCCAGATTTGCTTTCTTGTAATATCTTTGTCATATTAGACCACTATTGTCCTTGTATAAAATGAATAGGGAAGTATATAGTCTCACCTCTTTTATCTTCATAAAGAATATTTGTAGGATAACTTTTTTTTTCTTAGGTATTGATAGAATACTCTAGCAAATTAATGGGCCTGGTGTTTTCTCTTTTTATAAACAGATTGAAGTTCTTGAGTAAATGGAAGATCTTTTTGATCTTACCTGGTACATATCTGGGCTTAATGGACTGGGGGACTGCGTGGTACCAGTTATAGTCAAGTATACATTCCATCTATGATTTACATACTGGCCATTATGATTTTAATCTCTTGTCCTCTTCACGCCTCCAGCACAATTTTTTTTTGTGATTACTACTGCATTTATTTTCCTACTGTTAATTTTTCTACAGCTTCAACAAATTTGCCTTAAAGTTAAGCAAGAGGTTAGAACTGGATCACTTGGCTCTTTCTCTTCTTGTCTCCTCCCAGTTCAGAGTGCTTGCATCTCTTAATGGCCAGCATTCTCTTTGATCTGCACTTGTGCTCCACACACTCAAGCCTCAGCACAACCTTCTTTGTCTTTTTAGCCTTCTTCCAGAAGATGGGTTTCGTCTGCCCCCTGTAGCCACTCTGCTTCTGATCATAGCACCTCTTTCCTTAGGCATACAGGGAATCCTTGTCCTTCTCGTACTGGGTCATTTTGTGAGGCTGATGCTTGCCACACTTCTTACAGAAAGTACTTTAGGTTTTAGGTACATTGACCATCTTGGTGATAGAGCTGTCTATGTGATGAAAACGAGAAGCCCAGTGACCTTACTCACCAGCACAATTTTGATGTCTCTACCTTTTACTAACTTCTTGACAGCCTACTCCCTCTCTGGCTCTATTTTTGATTTTTATTTAATTTAGCTCCCTATAACTTGTAATTGGGCCTCACTGTTCTGTCCAGACTGATCTGTAACTCTTTTTTTTTTTTTGTGGTATCGAGGATTAAACTCAGAACCTTGCACTTGCCAGGTAGGCACTTATGCTACTGAGCTATCTCCCCGGGGGCCTGGAAACTTTTTTTTTCCCCCAAAAAAAGACGGTCTTGCTATGT